CGTCGACCGGTGTGAAGCTCATCCTTCTTGAAGATCTGAGACCATTTGTACTCCCCTCGAGCGTTGTCAGCTTCGATGGCTCGGCGGATTCCTTCTGCTTCCTGGATGACTTTTGGATCATCCGCTTGCCGGTCGTAGAAGTCGCAGAGCACACGCAATGCTGCGTCCTCCCTTTTATGGCGATATAGCCATCGGGGACTCTCCGGGAGTCTAGATATCGTCAGATGCACAGTGATCTCCAATAACGTCCAACGAAGTGGGAGCTTACCCAAGGATAAGAATAGACACACCAGCTGCGAGGAGAAGCTGGCAAGCAATCGGGAGTCTCCAGCTAATGGAGCCGTCGACATAGCTCAACCCGTAGTCGAACCAATAGGCCACGCAGATGCCAACACTGACTGCAAGAGGCTGGCTGCAGACATACATTCCTCGTTTCCGTGCATCACATAATTCCGATTGATACACTGGCACGGCTGCTGTCATCACACCAGTTCCAATGCCCGTGAAGAAGCGGGTCACGAGTATCTGAGTCCTGGAAAAGGAACAGGTTTGGGCCGTGCCTCCAATCTGCACGACAAACATTTCCTCCGTGTTAGCATAGTCCTCGTCACTGACATGTAGACACTTACACACCATAATCACAGCCATCGAGAACCACATCGACCTTCGAAATCCAAGCTTATCGCTCCGTAGGAAGGAAATCGCCGTCCCAACCAGACATCCCAGGTTGTATATGGCCACTATGAATCCCACCATGCCCGAACTAGGGTTGTCCACCATGGCAAGAAAATCCTCATTTGACACAATTCCCGAGTATATCCCCTGATTATAACCTATAAGACACCAAGAACCAAGTCAGCGCACCGCATATTTCGAGGCCAGATCGAAGTAACCCACCGAATAGAACAAACGCTAACTGGCAGGTGAACAAGATAGCCATGCGAAGGCTGAAGCCTCGGCCATATATGTTGAGCTTCGCCATGGTCCCAGTCAGAATAGGAACGGGCAAGCTTGAGCAAACGCAGATAATCAATCAGCACAACCGTCAATATCTCAGGCAGTATTTATACGTATGTATCCCTGAAGAACCGGATTGCCATTGACGACGATAGTAAGGGGGCTCAACGCGGAGTGGGCGGTGGATCCGGGACACATGGACTTGGTGCACGAGAACCAACGTAGCATGACGACTTGCTGGCCGAGTTTCCCTGGAGCAAGTAGCTAATCTGGGACCGATAGCTGAAGTCATACTAACCTCTTAGAGATTGAGCGACGACCCTCCATACCAAAGGGTTCGGCTCTATACCGGGGTTACCACAAAAGTACGGTGGGCAGGAGCCATAGTGCGAGAGTCCCAGAGTCAGACGACGATTATGGTGACATCCAGTAATTCTATCCGGCTGTCTCGTGCATTCTGTATCGAGGAGAAACCCTGCCTCACACATTCCTCATGGCTCACGGAAGGTTGACTTCCGACTGGGAACCACACTATATCTGGACATGGAGTCGCGGTTTCAAGGAGGCGAGAGTGTAACCAAAGATCATCAGCAAGGCATCGTGGTCATCAGATTCAGAGTTGACGTTAGAGTTGACGTGTTACTTGATATGTAAAACTTTCAAGTTCTAAAGTGTTGAGGGAAGGTATAGCTCTAGCGGAGGTTTCCATGGAGCAGCTGCCTAAATGTGAACCTTGGCAGCGTCTTTCGGAGCCCGACAAGGTAGTATACCCCTTGCCTTGGTATTAACTATAGCTTGGAAGGTTTTGAGGGGGAGGGGGGTCCTCTGCCTGAAGAAGCCTCCTCTCATTGCCGAGAAGCCAGCGTTGTAGTTCTGGGGCGCTTTGATGACGGTCATGGGCGAGGAGCTGCTCTCTTATCGTTTGAGGCGTCCAGGCTAAGGCTGCGTCCATTCATGCTGCAAGCCTTTCAGCTCTAAGACTGAGTTCAAGAATTGGCCCAGACTCAAGCAGACACACGAAAGATCGAGGCAGTTGTTGTTGAGATTTTCCCGGTCTCACGTGATATTCACCTAACAGGAAGGTGGTCAAGTCCTCAGTGACCTCAGTCCATATTGGGCCAAAGTAGGGGCTTTGAGATTCATTCAATTAATTTAGTCCTTCAGCTCAGCTTAGGCTTGAATTTGGTTCTTACTATTTATAGATAGGTTGATCAAACCTGGAATGGTAGTTATTAGTTCGTGGCCGGCTAGTGGGGCTATGTTTTAGCTATATATACATGCCCTGGATATTTTATCTGTTTCCAAGATGATCTGCAACTGAATCTGAACTCAGTCACTATCATAGTAATCACTTCCTTCGTCGTAGTAGTCTCCGTAGTGTCCTGCGAAAGCCGCCTCGACACCATCCTCCGCGTCCTCGTCGTCGTCATAGTCGTCCTCCTGTTCATCGTCTGAATACCCATTTCTCTGACCGGCAGCAGGGCCCAGGGCCTCCTCGTTCGCAGCCGGTTTCTCTGTTGTAGTGGTTGAGGGGCCGGGCCGAGCTGCTTGCTGTGCGGGTTCACGCTCTGCGGGTGGCACTGTGGACGACACCGTAGGCACAGAAGGCGCTGCAGTCGAAGCAGTTGCAAGGCCAGCTCGCCGACTGATTGCTTCAGGTTCGATACTAGCGCTGCGCCTAGAAAACACACTCTGACTACGACTTCGGCTTCGACTGACACTCTCAGCCTTCGCCTTCGAAGGCTCGTCAGCGCCTCCGTCGTCGAAAAGAGAATCCAGAAGTCGGTAGTTGATCTTTTTACTGAACCCTCTGCGTTCCAACATTCGCCGAGTCGCTTCAGCAGGGGTTGAGGCACGAGTGCTTCGTCCATCGCCATCTTCTCCTTCTCCTTCGAGATACGTGACATCTCCCAGTCTACCCTTGCGGCGTTTCCGGGGCTTGTTGACTCGGCCGTCGCCAGGCTGTGAATCTGCTTCCGCTAGAGCGCGTTTCAAAGCTTTAGCCTGCTGTGCTCGTAGGTAATCTTTGTTTTCATGCACCCAGATTCGCTCCTTGATTTCGACTTCGGCGGGCGACAGCAAGCAATGGGCCACTTCCGGGTCTGATTCAAACTCGGCAGCATCAATTTCTGTGCTATCGGATACTGCTGGCTTGCGCGGGAAGACAGTGCTTTCGACCATATTCGAGCCCTGTGTCAGATAGGAGGCCATTTCATTCTCAAGCGCCTCTTCAGACGCAATCTGTTCGGCCGATGGAGGGGGCAGTTGAGGTCTCTTCCCCTTGGGGCGACCCGCCGGAGCGTCTTCTCCGAGTTCGGACGTCGCGTCACTGGTGACAGAGGCAGTCGACTGCCGTCTTTGACTAGGATCGCTTGCCATCAACGCTGGGTCAATGGGAAGGTTGGGGATCGCGAAGCCATCGGAATCAATCCGTCTCGGCTGCTGCGCCTCCGGTACGTCGCCTTCGATTTCAGCCGCAGTTTCAGCGGGTTTCCTCTTGAAGGACCGCGATGGTTTCCGACCCTCTCTAGACCGAGCAAATGAGGGCGGGTCATGTGCATTTTCCAGTTGAACCGAACGGAATTGATCGACGGTTAGCTCACCACTCTCGGTCGAGCTAAATTCGTTGAGTCGTTGACTGATCGTGATCTCGGTGACTTTCACCACGTAGACAACTTCCCGGACGGTGCGGCGAAAGTTGTTCATCCGGGCAGCAAGAATCAGCGCTGCACCACAGATACCAGCAGGACGACGACCTGTAGTCATCCAGTCGCGATTCATGCGCTGCACAATGCGCACAGCCTCGCTAGCGACCTGCATTGTGCTAGGTCCGAATTCAAGTTGTTTGGCAAATCTATAAATCAGACTCTCAGGATCAATGGGATTCATGAGAAAGATGGTGCCTCCGAGGCGCAGCTCCTCCAACAAGGCCTTGTACGTCCGACCTAGCTTGAACACGTTCAACATAAGCACATCAGCGAAATCGATGAGCATGACCGTGTTGCCGTCCTGTCGACGGCAGGCTATGTACAAGCTGACCGCGGCAACCGTCTTGGTTCTGCGACCTTGAATGAAATTCAGGCCGACAGCCAGCTTGAACACCTGGGTAGCTGCCTTCGAGGCACTCTCTGGGATCATCAAGGCGCGAGACAGCTGCGTGATATAACGATTACCGTTGGCTTCCGTAAGCTCACGGCTCTCTGTGCCTCCATGAAACCGGCCAGGGCCAGTGCTACGAACATGTGACTGGTCTTCACCGACAAATGTTCCCTGAACGACGGCAGCACCGGAGGACGTTTCACCGAAGGTGACTTCAGAGACAATGTTTGCCTCACTAATGACAGTACCACACCCGGAACAGACCTTCTGGCCGTCATCCTCGACGATATGAGGGGCCGGACAGCCTGGGTTAGGACAGGTCGTCGTCTTGGGATGAGTAGTCGGCCTGACAGGTTGAGGCCGGGAAATCGGCTGTGGCCGCCTGAGCGGGGTTGAGCTTGTTGGCTTGAGACTGGCCAGACGTCCCATTGGAGGCGCCCTGGGGCCAGTTCTGGGCGGCATTGGCCGCATTCCAGGTCTTGGGACGGACATGATGAATCAAGCGTGAGGATAAATTGCCCCGCAAGAGATGGGACAAGGGGCTTGAAACGAGGTTGATGATTGCGCTAGATGTTACGCCATATGCTTGAAAAGGCGTAGATTAATGGTTGAGATGATCAGCGGAGTGAGTTCCGAACCACAGCCGGAGTTCGGGTCGGGAGAGCTTAGGAAAAATGGATATTAAGGGATGACAATGAAAGGGATGTTGCGGGGTAACTCCGCGCAGATCTTGCAGCTGCACCGATAATGGTTGTTACTCAGGTGCGACGAGCCGGTAAGGGAGAGTGATGCTGGTAATGCTGTTGAGTATCTCTGCAAGACCGCGAAAAGGGATACGACGTGTCGACACGCGTTGTAAAGTGGTAAAAGTCGCGATAAGTGATGGAAGATGGAGGGGGGAAAGAGTGAGGTGAAAATTGCGATGGGGAGGACGCGGTGGCCCAGCGGAAAGGTCACGTGTCGCGTCCACGCGTTGGGAGCTGGCAAACTTCCCAATGCCTCCCGTTCGATCCTCCTTCCGCTCTCTTCTTCTTTTGCATTTTCCCACCCAGCTCATCATCTCTTTCTCCAACTTCTACCTTCTCCACCTGTCATTGCTAGGAATCGTATTTGTCTCGGGATCTTTATTCTTCATCCTGCATGACACCTTACAATGGCACTGGTCTGCAAAGGGGCTTCTTCGTCGAAGCGACCCACCCTCTGCCGTTTGCGGGCGAATTTGATTGTCTTCACGATTCACGATTCACGATTTACAGATAATCGAGTACAAAGATACTGAGCATTAGTGTGGCAGAATAAACTCGACGGGCCAGGGACTCAGAATTGAACCAATCTATATGATCTAATCAGATCTCGATCCATTCAAGCTTTTTGCCACTCAGTCTTCCGCACTCGAACACACCCTTAAGGAACCTCTTAAGTCCCTCATTACCTCAACACCTTTTTTGAGATGCAACTGGTAGAATCATGCTTTGCTGCCTATCCATAATACGTTAGCCAATAAATATGCTGTATACTTGTAACTAACCAACTGACTGGTTTGTCAGGTTGAATCAGCCCTGCAGCATGGAAGTTTCCCTTACTCATCATACATCATCTCCGGGCCTCGTTCTGGAATGCGCGATTTGTGCGTTCTTTAGAGCTTCAGAGTCTTCCGCGCACAAAACGCGCAAGGTTGCCTCTTGCTCCCCAACCATGATTATAAATGATATCACTTCATTACCACAGCTACTAATACCATGCTTCATCTTCCTCGTCCCTATTGAAATTCCTAAGAATTCATTGCCCCCTTACATCACTTCGCCCATGCCCACGAAATTCGAGCCAAGAGCCAAGAACAACCACGGAGAATTACGAATGAACTGACTCACGTAACTTCCCCCTCCTGACCAGCCGCAAACATTCCTGGCAAATATTATCCCCAAAAATATACCCCCCTCTTTTCAGCCACCTCGTGGTTGAATGAATCATGTCGCAGCCCACCACGAGGAGCGGCGCCATCGCCCTGACCGGACTCAGCGCCCGGTCACTGAAAAGCACATTCCTCGTGAGCAACATCCACTGCGCCTCCTGCGTCGCCTACATCGATGAAGTCCTATCTGGCATTGCGGGCGTGATCAAGGTTGATGTGTCCGTCCTCACGCACGAAGTCCGCGTCATGCACACTGCAGACGTGGAGCCGCTCGACCTGGCCAAAGCGCTGATTGATGCCTCCTTCGACGTGCATCATGCTACAAGCTACGAGCCGAAGGGCTCCGTCGTCGCGGACTTTGACACGACCGCGTGGCTGCCCCGCGACTCGATTTTTGCCGGGCCCAGTCCACAGCAACCCGGTGCGGCGCATGCGGCAACCTTGGCCCCGGGCAATCGACACATCGAGAACTGCGATGCCTGCCGGCAGGAGGAGCTCGAGAGGCTTGCTGCTGAGGCCGACCTGTCGGACGGTAATCTGCGCTACCAGGCCAGCGCCGATTTTAGCACCGACCCGTCGAACGACAAGGTCGCCGGGCGCGTGTCCCAGCGGCCAGTGCCTGGGAGTTCTACCGAGGACGTGGCGTCGCAGTCACCCTCTCCGGCGAATGGCTCGTTGCAGTCGCCAGCAGAGAAGTTCAATGCGCGCGTGAGCATTGGCGGAATGAGCTGTGCCTCGTGTGCGAACAGCATTACTAACGAAGTCAAGCAGCTCGACTTTGTTCAGGATATCACCGTCAACCTACTCACGAACAGTGCGGCTGTCACCTTTAGTGGGCCGCGAGCAAATGTCGACAAGATTGTCGAGCAGATTGAAGACATCGGGTTTGAAGCTTCGCTGGATGAGGTCCAGAGCCTGACTGTTCCTTCGAAACGCAAGGGGCCTACGCCGACTTACGTCGCAGAAATTGCCATCAGCGGCATGACGTGCGGTTCTTGCTCGGGCGCGGTCACTCGCGGGCTTGAAGAACTGCCTTTTGTGGTAGAGGTTTCCATCAATCTCTTAACTCACAGCGGAAGAGTCGAATTCCAGGACCGTACCAAAATTGACGCTATTGTGGAAAAGATCGAAGACTTAGGATACGATGCTTCGGTCAACAGTGTATCTCCCAAGGGCGCATCTCAGGAGAGCGAGATCGTTGAAGAAAGAACGGTTTCTGTTCATGTGGACGGCATGTTCTGTCACCATTGCCCGGAAAAGATCTTCAAATCCGTCGAAGGCCTGCCAAATGTCAAGGTGCAGGGTGCGCTCTCCGTCAATAACCCCATTCTCACAGTGACATATACGCCCGAACCCCCCTCCCTCACCGTAAGAACGATAATGCAAACCATCAGCAAATCGCACGAGTCATTTACAGCCACTGTATACCACCCCCCGAGTGTGGAAGACCGGTCTCGCGCGATGCAACGACATGAAAGACGGCGCCTCCTTACTCGGTTCATCTTTGTTTTGGCAGTGGCTATCCCCACTTTCTTACTTGGGATCGTATTCATGACTTTGGTGTCATCGAACAATCCGACTCGCAAGTACCTTGAAGAGCCAATGTGGGCGGGCGATGCGTCGCGCCTCGAGTGGGCACTGTTTATCATGACCACACCCGTCATGTTCTATGGTGCGGACATCTTCCACGCGCGAGCGATGAAAGAGATCTACTCGCTTTGGCGGCCGGGCAGTCGTGTACCGATCCTGCGGCGGTTCTACCGCTTCGGTAGTATGAACCTTCTGATCTCCGCTGGCACCATGGTGGCTTATGTCTCCTCCTTGGCTGTGCTTATCATGGATGCCTCCATGGGGTCTTCCTCCAGTACTCATAGCTCTACTTACTTCGATACCGTGGTCTTCTTGACCATGTTCATCCTTGCTGGGCGCTTTATGGAGGCATACAGCAAGGCCAAGACGGGTGACGCAGTTGCATCGCTCGGAAAGCTGCGACCAAGCGAGGCCTTGCTCAAGGTCTCTGAAAGTGTTGCGGGCGGCGCAGAAACAGGAGCCGACACCAAAGACGGCAGCTACCAACGGATCAGTGTCGATATGCTGGAAATCGGCGATGTGGTCAGCATTCCCCACGGAGCCTCGCCCCCAGCCGACGGCGTGGTAGTCAGAACCGGCTCCTATCAGTTCGACGAAAGCTCATTGACCGGCGAATCGAAACCCGTGCACAAGTCAGCGGGCGACCCTGTGTACACTGGGTCTGTCAACATGGGACAGCCCGTTGATGTCAAGGTCACTGCACTTGGAAGTTCTTCCATGTTGGATCAAATTATCTCGGTAGTACGAGAAGGCCAGAGCAGACGAGCACCCCTCGAGAGGGTGGCAGACCTCCTGACCTCTCACTTTGTCCCGACTATCACCCTCATCGCCATTCTGACCTTCGTCATCTGGCTCTCCCTTGGACTATCTGGGACGCTTCCCGAGGATTACCTCGACGTCAGCCGCGGCGGTTGGACGTTCTGGAGCCTGGAGTTCGCGATCGCGGTCTTTGTCGTCGCCTGTCCCTGTGGCCTCGCTCTCGCCGCGCCCACCGCGCTCTTCGTTGGCGGCGGTCTGGCTGCTCGACAGGGGATTTTGGTGAAAGGCGGCGGCGAAGCCTTCCAGGAAGCGAGTCGTCTCGACGCGATCGTGTTTGACAAGACCGGGACCCTCACTGAAGGAGGCAGCCTGCAGGTTTCTGACCATGAAGAGCTCATCACCGACCCAGACCTGATGTCCATCGCCTGGACCGTCACCCGCAAGCTCGAAGAGAGCAGCAACCACCCCATCGCCCGGGCCCTCTCCAGCTTCTGCCGCGAGAAGCCACACACCCAAGTCTCCAGCGTCGACGAAATCGAGGAAATCTCCGGCCAAGGCATGAAAGGCACCTTCACCATCACCACCAGAAGCCCCAGTGGCACCGAACAACAACAACAATTCGAAGCCGCCATCGGCAACCAACGCCTCCTGCACGCCCTCACCAACACCAACTCCGACGACCCAAGTCTCATTGACCTGACCAACCGCCTCACCCAGCACCAAACCACCGGCAAATCCACCGCCATCCTCCTCCTCCGCTCCCTCACTCCCAACAATAACAGCAACAACAACAACAACACCCCAAAGAATCCCTTCACCCCCGCCCTCCTCTTCGCCATAACCGACACAATCCGACCCTCCGCCGCCCGCATCATCCACGCCCTCCACCGCCGCAAGATCTCCGTCTACATGTGCACCGGGGACAACCGCACCACCGCGCTGGCCGTCGCCTCGCAACTCGGCATCCCACCCACCCACGTGCAAGCCAACGTCACCCCCGCCGGCAAAGCCTCCTTCATCCGCTCCATCCAGAACCCCGCGTCAGCAGACCTCGAATCCCAGCAACCCCCTCCATCCCAATCCCCCCCAAGAAAAATCGTCGCCTTCGTCGGCGACGGCATCAACGACTCCCCCGCCCTAACGGCCGCAGACGTCAGCATCGCGATGGCCACGGGCTCAGACGTGGCCATCAACTCCGCCAGCTTCATTCTGCTGCACGCGGACCTGGCCGCCATTCTGCAGCTGGTGCGCCTCAGCCAACGAGTCTTCCGCCGCGTGAAGTGGAATTTCGCCTGGGCGTTGGTGTACAACTGCTGTCTGGTGCCCGTGGCGGCCGGCGTGTTCTATCCGATCGTGAGCGGGCGTAAACACAGCGCCACGGGCGGGGTGGTGGCGACGCATTGGCGGCTGAGTCCCGTGTGGGCGTCGTTGGCGATGGCGTTGAGTAGTATCTCGGTTGTGTGTAGTAGTTTGGCGTTGGCGGGGGAGTGGAAGTGGACGGTGAGGAGGGATCGCAGGAAGGGGGGTAGATTTTGAGTGATGGCTAGGGTTTTGTTTTGAGCGTTCGGGGGTTATGTTGTGTGTGTGCTATTGTATTTTAATAATTGATGGATTGTATCATGGTTTCTTGAATTGACCCGATGAATCGAACAATATGTGCAGACGACTGGATGTGTCCTATGGTTTCGTAGTGAATATCCACGACGAATTATTTAGGCCTCGGCATATTTGCATTGCAAACTTGCCATCATCAGGTGGGGCCGAACATGTAATATGAGTATCAATTCTCCATGCTGCAGTGTCTACGTAGTGTCTAACTCTATTGCGTGAGGCTATCAAAACAGCCTAAGTCAATTCAATATCTTGATAGCACCAAGCGTTCCAGCTTCACCGACCCAACTAAGCCACATTATCAATACGTCCAAGTCCAATGCCGATGAACGACCAATCTGTAACACCTATCCATTCTCACCCCAAACCTCAGCAATCTTCTTGCTCAGGACCTTCGCGATCTTCTTCCGCGTCACGAGTGTCTGCATCTGATCCGAGACCAAATTATCCCGGTCCTTGACCCCCAACACCTCGAATGCCTGGACAAACGCCTGCGGGGTCGGCCACCGCCGCTGGATCTCCAAGGCCTTCTCGCCCGTGACGCCCCGGATGCACATGAGCATCTTTAGGAAGACATCGCGCAGCGTTAGGACGTCGGATTTAGAGGTCAGCGCCGAGAACGTCGAGAAGGTCACGGCGAAGGTTGTGCTCGGCTTCTCGGCGCGGAACCGCGCGAGCGTCTCGAGGTACGACTCCGAGGACGACAGTTGCCGGCTGGGGATTAACGCCAGGGTGTGAGACGGAGGTGGTGGTGCTTCGTAGGACGACGCGGTACCGTACATCTTGCGCAGCAGGCAGGTCATTCGCGCCAGGTAGCGGATGGAGTCGTCCAGGTTCTTGGTGCGCTTCACGAAGTAGCCGTTCACCACCTGCGTAGACGCGATGGCGGAGGCGACCATCTCTTCGTATTTCGAGGTGATGGTGGGGTCTTGGCTGAAGGTGAATTCTTCGATGAGGTAGATGACGTTCTTGATCCCGGAGCGGCGGAGTCGGAACTTCTGCTCGTGGAAGCGGCCGTCTTTCATGGAGCCGATAAGGTCGTCCAGGCGTTTGCGCTCTACGATCCAGTCCAGCATGATCTCGTCGCCTTCCTCGCCGTACTGAGACAAGAACGTGGGGTCGTGGAACTTGGCCACCCACATGACATCGCCTAGCTCGAGAGCGCGCACCTCGGGGGTGACGCCCTTCTTGCTGAGCTCGTTGGCAAGGTAGTCCCTGTCTCGGGAGGACCGCACTTCGCGAACGTCCAGGACCAGCTGGACTGTGAAGCTGTTCGGTGGGATCACGATGGGAGTAACTGTTCCATCAAACGCCGCATCAATTGCGTGAGGGGGTTGAGGATTCTGAGACGCTGTTTCGTAGCCGATGCTCTCATGCCGTACAGCCTGTGGTATGACATCGCTGGGTGCGCGATCAGAGGGGACATTGCTTGCAGCGGGCTGAGTCTGAGGAAAGTCTTGTTAGGTGATCGAGGAAACGGCTGGAGTATTTAAGATATCAGAAACACTCACAGACTCAGCTCGGAAAGATAGCGTTCTTTGGTTCGGGTTTGACGGCGCAGCCGCCTTGATTCGTTTGGCAACTTCCCAGCCTTCTTCCGTGAGAGCGTATCTCTTCAGTGGGCGGCCGTAATCGTAGACAAGCTCCTTCTGAAGGAGGGTCTTCATTGACGCCCATGCAGTGTGGAACTTGGACGAGTCGCTCGGGGCTGTGAACGAACTCTCGCAGTGCGGCTGCGCTGTCTCAATCAACTGCGATTTTGTCATGCCCTGGGACGCATTCTCTTCCAGGGTCGAGAGAGCCAAGATAATAGCGTAAGGACCAGACCGCAAAGTTGGCACATATGGCTTGGTCTTCCGAGGTTTCTTCGCAGGTTGGGTCTCCGTTGTCCCCCCCTCGTCGGATTTCCTTTTACTCCTAGCTGCCGTCGATCTTAGAACGAAAACAATATCCAAAAAGGCGGTAGAAGCGGAGAAGCATGGAACCAACTTTTGTGGGGGTGCTCGGGCATGGGAAGGCCGTTCTCCTCGCAGTGCTCCTTGAGCTTCTCCGTCAAGCGATCGCATAGTTTCGGACCCAATCCATTGAGTTGTTGGGCTTCCGAGGGATGCTGGAAGACCAGTGGACAAGCTTTCATGGAATCATAAGCCTTCTTGTACCTGTCCAAGCGTCAGTCAATATATCTACCCACGGAGAATCGATACACTCTACACTACTCACACGATCGCTCCTTTGCTATTGCGCTCTCGTGCCTGGTCGAGCCATTCTTTGATCCACCCCAGCAACAGGGGATTGGCGCATGTTTCGCTCATGTTTCGGCAAAGCTAGACCCCATGGGCATACGGCAATTCTCGATGACACGCCAATGAAAGAGATGCAAGAAATAATGTCATCTCCACATCACGTCTGTATTTCCGATGAGCGGCTTGCGTGGCCACTTGCGAAGGTCTGGCCCTGCGAAGTGACGTTGCGGCTTGGACGTCGACCTCGTTTCCAACGCGCTGGCCGAGAGATTCACGCGTATTTCCTCTTTCGGCAAATCGCCACCGGTGGCTGGTGCATGATATAATTGTGGCTCAACTACTAATGGCGGTGCCGCAGCCCTTGGTATTCGCTGGCTATCATTGGTTGCGCGGGTGACTATACTCTTACACACATCAAAGGTACTGTACCTCCTGTACTACAAGATCGAGTTGCACGGAAGGCAGGAATTGGATGTCGCACTAGAAAAAATGTTCTGCCGAAAGAAAGCCAAATGCTGCCGGTAAATAGAAAGAGTGGAGTTATATTAAATACGCATATGTCAATAAGATCAAGCTAAAGTTCCCCAGCAAGATACAGGAACACCAGTTCTCCGATCTGCGGGCTTGACTGGCTCATGCGATGACGTCGATTACCCACCTCCCACCTCCCAACTCGCCTTCAAAAGCCCTTTGACATGCGCCAGCTCCGTTTCTCCTCCTCCCAAACACATGCTGCTCGACTTCGCTCCTACTCCCTGCTAATGTGTGGTCTGCTTGACCCCCCATCTGCAGCATGTCTCAACTCGATACCACCAACAACAATGCACAGCAAGTATCCTACAACACAAAGAACAGTCGCGCAGGCATCCTAGACGCTGAACGCACCACTACCGACGTATCCGGACCGACCGATAGCCATGTCTTGTCCAAAGTAGATCAGGATGAAAAGGGGCTTGCCCAGAGGGCTGGGGATGCCGACACTATCACCGATGTGGGATGGGACAAACCGCCGGAACAAATCCACGAGCGTGTGGTCTCAGGTTTGTCGAATGAAGACCTATGGATGCTCATCCGACGATTCAACAAGGTAGTCATCCCTGATCCATTCTAAGGATGTTCTGGACGCTGACTTTCCCAGCAAGTTTACTATGTCAAAGCCTTGCCGGAGGCTCCCCTCCAGCGGCTCGACCTGAACCGCGCGGAAGACGAACAGTTCTCCCCTGACAAACTGCGAGCAACCCTCGAGCGGTTCTATACTAGCATTGTTGTGTCTTTGACTGCCTTTGTCAAGCATATTGCAAGGCTACGTTCATGGCGCGAGCGCAACCGGACAGCAGGGTTCTGCATTGTAGGTTAACGTCAAACGGCCGTTTCGGTTAGCATGACATTGACAGGCTCACGAATCTAGGTCTACTTTGCTGCATGGATGCTTGACCTCCTTGCGCCTACGCTCTTCGCTGTCCTTCTCGTCCTGGTTGTCTCTCCCCAATCTCGCGAATTCTTGTTCCCTCCTGCGCCCATTCCGCTGGTAAGCACGGATACGGGGGGCATACAGAAGCCCAAGGCAGGGGTTTTGGGCTCTCACGACAGTATCACTGGAGCACCGGAGAAGATGAAGGGTGAAGCTGCCGAAAGAGAGGCTTCGAATCTCATCACCAGTGTTGCGAGTGTCGCCGTGGGTAGCGTCGCCGGCAAACATGACCAGGGAACTCCTGAAGATGCGCCTATTGAGTCATCTGTGCCAGATGCCATGGAGATTGCCACTAGCGCAGCGGATGCTCAAACGGCCGCTCACGGAGAGAGCACGGATGAATCTCACGATAAAACTAAGGAGCCCATGAGGGATACGGTCTACAACGCTGCAAACCTAGCCATGCGTATCCTTGCCGATATCATTGACACCTACGAGAGGTTTGGCAAGTAAGTGGTCCCGTCTCGTATTCACGAGTCCTCAAATTGATTTGTGGTTGACGATCGGCAGTGCTTTGTCTCCGACACCTCCATTTTCCATGATCACTCCATGCCTCCGCCTGGCGAGCGTGCTATCAGTAGGCTTCCTCGCGTCCCTTATCATATCGAGCCACATCCTCGTCAAAATGAGTACCTTTGGCGTGGGCTTTGCATTCTTCGGTGACCCAATCATCAGACGTGGAGTGGCGTACCTGAACCGTGAATTTCCCCGCTGGGAGAAACTCCTCGAGCTACAGAAGTATGCCTCCCTTCAGCAAACCATGGAAAGCATCATTTCATGCACTGACACATCCGCCACAGCTCCCTCCTCAAGGGCATCCCCACCAACGCCCAGCTCGCACTCACCCTCCTCCGCATCGGCGAAGCCAATGGCGCGCCTCTGCCCCCTCCCCCATCCCACTCCCTGCACGCCACGCCCGACCAACCCGCCCACGTCCGTAAAGAGGACATCAATCTCGACGCGACAGATGAAGAGATCAACGCGGCCATTGCCCCGACGCCGCAGCCGCAGACTGACTCAACGCAGCACAAGGAGATCCACCCGCACCCTCCCAAGAAAGGATTCGCGACCCGGATGCTAGGCTTTTTCCGGGGCACGACGGCAACGGGCATCGAGAGCAAGCTGGCGGTGGACCGGGCCAAAGCGGCGGTGGGCTCGAAGCGGGCCAAGGGCCGCGTCGGCGTGCTCCGCAAGAAGGGCCAGATCACCCTCCCCTCGGGCCCCGTGCAGTTTGACGGCCGCTACCGCGGCAAGCGCGGCGTGCTCGTCATTGACCAGTCGCAGTCGCCGCCGCTGCTGTACTTCACCACCGACCAGTCGGTGCAAGTCGACGACCCCACCTTGGCGGGCCGCTCCAAGAGCTCCGTCCTCTTCAGCATGCCCGTCTCCGACATCCGCGAGATGCGCAAGGTGGGCGGGCTGGGCTGGAAGGGCAAGCTGGTGACCGGATGGGCGGTCGGCAGCAAGGAAGTGGTGGATGGCCTCAATCTGGTCGGCGTGCTTCCCGAGCAGAACTATCAGCTCACGGCCATGAAGACCCGCAATCAGCTGTTTAATCGGCTCGTGGCTATTGATGGACAGGTCTGGGCGAGCTACTAAGCCCCCCGCTATTGTTCGGATTGCTAAGGTGTTTCTTTCTTGATTCAGGTTTGGAAATAAGTATTTCCCGGTTCCTTGACACCTTTTAGTTTGCGAATATGGGTATCTGAATGGGTGGAGGGTAAAATGATACTTCAATGGATGGGTTGGGGTAGTTAATGATCGATGCCGGGAAAGAAAGGGGGGGTTTACATGTGACCATGATATGCTTCTGAATGTCCAATATTTTTCTCCACTTTCGGTTTGACAGGAACGAGGATTGCAGGTTGTATATATACGCTCTGATGATAATGCCATATCCAAAATTTCAACTTATCAAACCCTGAACTGGTCCTGTACACTGATTTGGTTATTGTAACCCCTAACCCACCACCACGTCGTCAAACAACCTCATCAAACGGCATAAGTCGTAATGTAATGATCATCTCTTGGACTGCCACGCAGATCCCTGCGCATCAGACGGGTAGTATATACCTGGGAGAACACCACCCTCCAACAAATTGTCCGCCGAAAATCGAAAACAATCACCAGCTCTCCACCGGAATAACTCATTTCGGCTTTTTAAGCGATTCGCAGATCATCCCAGCAGGGAAGAGAAGTATAGAAGGAGACACCCGTTAGTTCTTGGCCGGAAGATATTTTGCTGGTGGAGTACGTGATGCGATGATGATCGGACTATCCTCCGCAGGCTCGCATCAACTCCGAGAGGATGATTGTGTCTTCTCCACAAGCCCCGGATTTTGTCCGGAGAAATAACTTGTTCTAAGGAGCTCACATGCTGAGCCTGGTGAGGGCTTGTGTCATGGAATTATTAGGACGACAGTGTGAGGCCAATTGGGTTTGGGAACAGGCTGGTCGGCGAGACGCGCTAGTTGTCTTCTCGAACGAAGACGGTGGTAGATCGGGAGATATTAGCCACTATGGATGGGCATTAGTTAGTGGAAACGCCACTTGAGCTAGCTTGCTTAGTAGCTCTGGAGTGTGTTCTCGTTCTCGGTAGACAGAGATTAAGTTGAATAAAGACGGAGGAGGAGGTTATGGTTGAAGATTTGCAAGTTTACGGCGTACATACATGTACCCCGCAGTGTTTTTCCCCAGATCCCGTGCCTGACTCATTGTTCTGGATAGGAAAAATGTCAACAAATGGGGGGGGGATAGGTGTTGCTCAGGAGATCGCAGTTGGTGGCACGAGTACACCCGGACAGATTTTGATTTCGAGTCTGAGAAGAGTGTTGATTACTGTATTATAATCGATATCCCATCGCAGGCAGTCGAACTCAGAGGTGTTGAGGATCAACAGGGTCGAGTCGAGTGGATTGGAAGCGGGGTTGACCCGCCATGGTCACCTCCCATTCTTCGTTTTCCCCACCTCAAGTCAACGTCTTTCTTCCGCGACCATTCTGCTGCTTTCCAGCTCTATGCTCCAAGAGAATACTTCCATTCGTTTGTGCCACTCAATACGCGGAACGGACAGAGTTAGTGGATCGCTTGTAGATCCTCTTCGCCAACTGCTCGTCCTTGCTGGCTGCATAATGCCGGAGTATCCCCGATCCATCGGTAGTCGCACACCATGAAGCGCTCTTCACATGAAGCCAACCTGGACGACAGTCCACCCCAGCATAGCCGACGGCCGTCTCTTATCCCTGATGGCCGACCCTCGGCCCCAAGGATCTCCAAAGCTCGCGCGTGTGAGTTCCCCTGGTTGCAATATCTGCTGAGCCCCGCCTTCGCCTCTACCCACGCCTTACGGAAAGCTTTCTACATGCCAGGTACTGAACTAGTATATCAGGCGCGGAATGCAAGCGACATAAAATTCGTTGTGAGTTCAAAGCAGGAGAGACGAGCTGCACAAAATGCACACGTAGTGGCATCAAATGCATGGTCAACGACTTCTCCCAAAAGTTTGTTGACGATGATGTGATGTGAGTGTCCATCGAATTTACACCATAGTGGCTGTCAATGTACAGTTCACACTAACCCCTCGAGCCATCCAGGTGGAAATCGCAAGCTGCAGCCACAATTCGACAGCTGCAGGCGGCTGTCTCACATCTTTTGCGCCAGGGAGGGTTTTCAGAGCTGTCCTCGTTTGCTGGCGGTGACAATCAAAGTGGCACCAGCCCTGCCGAGTCTCAGTCTGACCTGCAGCCTTCATTCGATGGGTCGCCCGCAACCAAACAATCGGCGGAACCGGGACTGATAATGGATGTTACCCGAGAGCCTTCGCAGGAACCGGATCTCCAAGATCGCGAATTAGTGCCAGCGCCCATGCGGAGTCTATACGAAGTCACCAAGCTGCGCAATCTGCGGAACAATCCTATTGAACAACCCAAAGTGACACTTCTGGAGGAGGACTTCATTTCGCGCGGGTTGATCTCGCTCCACGAGGCCGAAGAGCTCTTTGCCTACTTCAGCAGGACGATGAACCAGCTCCTCTGGGGTGGTATTATCCTGGTTCATCGTGATTTGACTTCTGTCCGCCGAGCCTCTTCGCTTCTCTGCACTGCCGTCTTGACAGTTGCAGCACTCCATATCCCGAACCGTACGGAGACGTTGAACCGTTGCTACAACGAGTACGTCTCACTTGTGTCTAGTATGTCGCTGACACGATCTCACACCCTGGATGACATTCGCGCGCTCTGTATCGGGGCGTTCTGGCTGTCGGAGCTGAGCTGGAAGCTATCAGGCCATGCTGTGCGCATCGCCACCGAGCTAGGGCTTCACCAGAGCTACCATAAGATGATGCGTGGTCAGAACGACCAGTACGAGCGTGCTCAGCTCTGGTACCTGATGTATGTGTGCGATCACCACTTCAGTATCGCGTACGGACGACCACCCGTGATCCACGAAGATGCCGCGATCAGAAACTACGAGACATTTCTGCAATCGCCTTTGGTCGTGCCAGGCGATATCCGGCTTATGGCACAGGTAGCGCTGTTCATGATCCTCACGGAAGCTTACCGGACCTTTGGGAGTGATACAGAGCAACCATTCACAGAGGAAGACTTTGGTCAATTACGAGTATTCAATGTGGCCATCGACCAATGGCGGCTGCTGTGGCAGCCACGATCCGGTAGGTTCTCGCCTCCACTACGCATTATGATCTGACTGACATATCTGCCCCCAATATAGGCGATAGCCCTTATGTGCGGACCTATCCATCCAAAGGGGTAGTGCTGCACTACCACTTCGCCAAATTCCAGCTGAATTCTCTCTCCCTACGGGCTCTGTCCCCGTCCAACACTCCCGTCTTCTCGATGGACCGCAAAGAGTCGGCCAACACGGCCATCGCGTCCGCCATGGCCTGCTTAAATATGGTGCTAGAAGAACCCGACATCCGGGACGCAATAGTCGGAGTCCCGATCTTCACGCACACGATGATCACCTTCTCCGCCGTGTTCCTCCTGAAGGTGGCCATCAACTGGAACTCGGCCTACCTCAGCCTCGACGGCCGCCAGGTCCGACGTCTCGTGGAGCGGGTGATCGAGCTGCTGAATTGTGTCTCCGCGGGCGAGAGACATCTGACGCGGCATATCGCCCGTGGACTCGGGAAGATGCTGGAGCGGTTCGACTCGTGGGACTCGTGGCACGCGAATGGCACCGCGGTGGCCGACGCCGCGGCCACCGATGCGAAAGGGAGCAGCGATGTCCCCGGGGGCGCCAACGCCATGGCCCAGGGGTTTCCGCCGCCGGATCTGATATACGATATGGTGGGCACGTACGGATTTGGGTTGGATGAGAACTTACTGGATCCTAGCATGGCGAGTTTTGAGTTTCTGGCTCAATAGATGCGGTTGTAGCGTATGACGCTAGACGGGAGATACTGTATATAGACATATTGGGCTCATCTAGGTGAATACACGGTACATTGTTTGTCGGCTTTCCGGAGAGTGGTCCTCGAGTTTGAACAATCCCCTTGCTGGACTGGGACGCGAGGAAGTCAAAATCTATCGCATTCTCCACACACGCTGTTGGTCCTGTTCGAGAATGACGTTTTAGCCATTATCACGACCAATGGAAGGTACTCATAGTTAGCAAGCGGCGACCACTTTCCCCCCCCCCCCTTCTTCCCGAAGGATTATTCCACGAATACTTAGAAAAAGTACAAGGAGAAGCAGATGACGCAGCGCACGACGGCAGACCTGGCTGAGTCATCAGGGAGAATAAGATCGATCACACGGCGGAGCACCTGAGAGAAGAATGCTAATGGACTAGCTGGTAATCCCGAGCAGCGGCTGTGGAGGTGTGGGAAACCCTGCGCGATCTGGCTCGGGAGGCTAAGGGGCGGGCGGGTTTACCCCTGGCCTCGGACTGTTTTGGGAGATGGGGAGGGTTGTTGGTTCTAGTTAGTGTGGTGTTGTGCCACGGTATTTCTGATGTACTGTACTGTACTTCTCTACTTTTCTTTTTCTTTAGCGTTCTTAAAAAAAAAAAAAAAAAAAAAAAAAAAAAAAAAAAAAAAAAAAAAGGGGGGGGGGGGGGGGGGGGGGGGGGGAGGTAACTTCTTTGGTAGCACGGTGAGCTTATGATAATTTCCATTTGTTTTTCTTGGGAGCTCTTTTGGTGGACGAAGAAGGCATGGAATGTAAATAACCCGAGGCAGCAGCTTCCCCGGGAAATAGCTGAATAGCTGCTGCTCAAGCGGACTCCAGTCAGTTACTGTACTGTGGGTAGTCTGTGTAAGCTTGCTTGCACTAGCCTCGGAAAGTCTACAGGGTCCGCATTGCGTTAGGTTGAGTTGGCTGTATGGTACAGTAATTGGTAGAATTACTCTATAATTCCCCTGCAGTAACTTAGTCTACCCGTCGCGTAAGCTGCGTAATAGCCGGACTGAAGAGTAAAAGTTAGTGAGTGTGACAAGAGATTGACATCATGAGTTTAGTTGAATCTTTTCTTTTCTTTCCACGTCCGGAGAACGAGTTAAGCCCACTGCCGGTACCGCCCTGGTAAGGTTGACCGTTGATGACGGATACACTGGCTGCAATTGCCCCAGAGTGTCTGTGCACTTTCGCCCCGTTCGGTATTGTCACCCCACTTACCATACGGCATTCACCTGCCATCTTCATTCCCCCCCCCTCCTTCCTTCTCATTCTCTTTCTCTTTCTCCTCCCACTCTCTTCTTGTTTCTTCCTCTTCCTCGACATGCAACCATGATTCCCTCTCATCTCCCACTCGTCCATATGTCAATCTTTCTTCAGATCCAGGGGACCTCAAGTTCCTGGGGGTGCTATCGTTCCATGGCGAGCTGAGAACCAATCGACCAAGCAGCGATTCCCGCGAGGATAATCGTTCATGTCATCACTGCGGAGTCACTCTGCTCTTGCCCAGGAACCTCTAGGCGCACGGCCTCGGCACCACTAACGCGACGCGCCATGCGACGGGAACGAGAGCCCCAGGCCTGGAGAAGAAGTAGGTAGCAGCAGCTTTCTTACTGTTTAGCTTGTTGTGGTTGCCCCAGTGCGCGCTTTTCTCGCGCCGCTGCGCCGCCGCCGCCGCCGCTGCTGCTGCTGCTGCTGCTCCTGCTGCGCTGCTTGGGGCTGACGAACTGCCGGGCTGACTGACTGACCGAAATAATGCTCACTCATCCATTCCCTCGTCCGGGACTGTCCCCTCACCCAAACTGGGTCTCTCCCCCTTCCCTTGGATTGTGAGGAGGCTTGTCCTTCCAGCCTGGCTGGCTGGCTGGCTGGCTGGCTGTCCGTTTCCTCTGTTCCCTGCCGGCCGTCCCCTCTCTCTCTGCCCTTTTCCCTCTTATACTTCTCTCACACCCCAGCTTGCTCTCTCCCCTCTCTCTCTTCTCCCTCTCCCTACTTTACTCTCCTACACTCTTTACCTCTTCCATACACCCATACAGCCCTTGGGACCTTTCCTTGTCCTTCTACCATTAACTCTCCTCAATACAAATTCATCCACTAGTTGCGCAATTGCGCAATTGACCCATCCTTCTCTTTCTGAATATCCTAATCATCATACATCATGTCTACTCGTAAGAGAAAGCAAGAAGCCGAGGAGGAGGAAGAGCTTCAATCGCTTCCTGAAGACAGCGAGGAAGAAGAGGAGTGAGTCTTTTCTTCCCTCATGTCGCATTCGCATTCATTGCTCTTTCCTATTCATGGCGCATGAGCGCCTCGCTTCTTTCTTCCCCTTCTCTTCGCGCGCTTTTCTGAACCACTTCCGGAACATAACCGCATCACTGCCAATCACGATGTCTACCAAGCACTAACAAGTCAGCAGATATGAAGACTCCGAGGTAGAGCAAAGCGACCTCGGCAGCGAGGAAGAAGAGGTGGAGGAGGAATTTGACGAGGAAGCCGAGGGTGAGGCTGAAGAGCCCGAAGAAGAACGTATGTTTCATTCTTATCTGCCTTTCTTGTCTGGCCTGTTCCTACGTTCCCAGAGCCCAGCACGGTAAAGCATCAACTCTCTGAATGACCTTGTGCTAATCTCATATCCTTGACAGCCCCTGCGCCCAAGAAACGAAAGACCGCTCCAGCTCCTCCGGCTGACGAGGAAGAGGAAGAGGAAGAGGAGGAGGTTGCGCAGAACGGCGAAAACGATGCCGAGAACGGCGTTGATGATGAGGATGAAGAAGAGGAGGAAGAGCTCGCTGACGATGACCTTGAAGAGGAAGATGATACCGCTAAGGAGAGCGGACCCGCCAAGGCGGCCGCGAAGGCTAAGGGAGGTGTTGTTCCCAAGGAGCCTGAGGTGGATATCGAGGGCGATGACGAGTGATCACGTCGCTGTTCTTGTGCCCTATATTACTTCGTCTTCTATCCGAGGCAGCGATCTTGACTGATTTCGAAGATGCTTTGTGATTTTCAGCCCCGTGTGCTAATATCGTTATCTGCTTGCGACACGGTTTATTTTTATTTGAGGGTATTATCATTGTTATGCTGGCTGATGAAGAGCCCCCTTGGATAGGTTCCAGGTTATTATTACTTTCGCTGGTTGCGACGATAAATTCTTATTTTCCCTCGGAATTTGGTAGATCGTACGATCCCCGGGTCTTGGGGCTTTTAGAGAGAGCGGTCGATAATAGCTCAATACCATGTAGTTGACTTGACTGCCCTAGGACGGGAGACGGGAAGCATACGTACTGGAAGCCATCCTTCCCCGCCTGCTTCCCTGGCACAGGGTACCATAAAACCAACCCATCAAGCACAATACCCACACTCAAAGCTCCAAGATCCTGGATAGAGCAAACAGCAAATCGACAGCAACAGACGTCTTCCTCATCAAGCTAAGCAAAAGTCCACACAACACATGACCTTAGCGCATAACTACAATGCCTTGACGAAGCACGAACGTCAAGAACTACTTCGTTCACCTCGAACAGGAATCACATAATTCATCCAGAGAATTGAGTCGTGTTGTTGTGTGTGGATATGAGTTGGATTACTTCAGTTTCCTCCCTCCCTTCTTTGCTTCCTCCCTCCCTTCCTACACGGTTCTTCCAGTTGTTCGCTACACTGCACCCGCCCCCGCATCCGTTCTTTCCATCCACTAAACCCCTTGCATCGATACTACCTGACCTGCACCGCACCGGGAAACCATGACCAACCCCTACAACGGAGGGAAAAGCTTCAGAGTCCCAGACACTCTAACCATCACTGCCGCTGCTTCGGAAAGTCGCGCACAGTTGACAGTACTGATGCGTGAGGTCGAGGACGGGTTGCGGGAGGTTGGTGGCCTGGACGATACTCCGGACCTTGACGGCGCCTTCGTCTTCGATGAGTTTGCGCATGAGGAAGAGGAGTTCGGGGGAGAACTTTTTGCGGAGGTATTAGCTTATAATTTGGGGGGGGGGGGGGGGGGGTGTGGATGGGGACATACCTCGGAATACCAGCGGTACTGCCAGGCAATCAGCCGGATCAACGCGCCCAGCATGCCGCGGGTGTCGTTCTTCTTCTCGTACAGCTTCAGCACGCCGCGCATGGCCTTGGGGGCGAAGCGGATGGCCAGGCCGTGCTGGTAGGCCTCGATCGCCTCGTCGAAGTGGTGCAGCCGCTCGGCCAGCTCCCCGAGGATCTCCCACTCCGTCGCCGACTTCTTGTACTCGATCGCCTGCTGCCGGTACTGCGCCATCTCCGTGCGCCAGATCGTGTAGATGCGGAGGTCCTCGTAGAGGACCATGAATAGGTTGTCGAGCCAGCGCTCGCAGAGCCGTTTGTTGCGGAATTGCGTGTAGGCGGAGTGGGAGGGGTCGGGCTAGCGGGTAGTTTTGTCTTAGTATCTTCGAGGATGGGGGATGCTTTTTGGAATCGGTGGCAAGGGGAACGACTTACATCTTCGTTGCCGGATTTGATCACTTCGGATGCCATGGATTGCTCGGGCTTTTCGATCGAACTTTCCAGCTGTTCGTCCTGGAGGCCGTTGGGCGAGCCTTCGGCCTCCTTTTCGCGGTCTTCTGTGTTCGCGTCGTTGTGGTGGTCGTCGTCGTCGTCGTCCTCATCCTCCTGCCCGTCGCCTCCGTTGACCTCCGCGGAGGTGCGCGTGTTGGTGCGCGTGTGCTTGGAGGTAGAATGTTGGCGCTCAACGCGGTATTCCTCCTCCATGACGAACACTTCGCTGCGGATTTTGAGGAGCTGGTCCCAGCCGATGGCCGCCGCGACCTTGGTTAGGAGGTTGTAGGCCTTCAGGAAGGTTCCTTGGTAGCTAGCCGCGTGGAGTCGGCGCAGGGAGGGGTGGACATAGTCGGCAGGGTCGCCCTGGCGCGGTTGTCCTTCGTCAATCTCCTCCAGCATGCTCTCGGCAAGAATAGGCAGCATGATGCGCGTGGGCTGGGGCATGCGCGGGGTGTCTTTATCTTGGTATGTGAACATGGGGCACGAGTTCAGAGTCAACAACGCCAAATCCCATTGCTCCAAACCGACGTACACTTCGGCCAGTCGCGCCCAGGTGCTGAATTCGCTGGGAGCAGCGGTGACCGCCCGCTTGGCGCACTCCAAGGCCATCTCGCCCTCGCCTTTGCTCTGGCAGAACGCTGCCTGGCAGTCAAGCAGGGCGTAGTCCATCGGCACATCCTGTAAAGCGTCGAAAATCAGTCTCACTGCTTGCACCTCCTCATCAGCCATGATCAGAACTTTGGCCAGCAGCGACGACACTTCGACGTCGCGTGTGCGTAGCTTCTCAAACAGATTGATGCCCGAGGTGTAGCGTCCCGTGGTTTGTATGTACTTCAAAAGGCCCGACGTCAGATGGTTGCTGACAGTGTTCGGCACTTGCGTCTCCGGATCGGAACTGAGCTGTCGGCCTAATACGACGTTGTCAGCGGATACCACGGTGGAGAGATAGGCAGGAGGGCATACCCAGGAAGAACAGTCTCTCCGCAGCGTCCAGGAACTTGTGCTCCATCTCCGTATTCGTCACGGGGTTGAATCGCCGGACTCCGACAATCTTGCGGATTGAATCACCGCTGCCATCGTCCGCGTAGGTATATGCTCTCAGAATCCCGCAGAGAAAGGTCTCCAACCACAAAGCCTCCGTCGCAACTCGCTTGTCGCCCCGCTCGTCGATACAGTAGCTTTCCAGACTGCCCGGGATCTTCACTTCCACGCGCATGTCGAGGTGGGAGAAGGCATTGTAACAGCTGTGTAGACATTAGCACACCTGGACTGGAGAATGCGTTGACCGATGGCCGAACCAGTAGATCCCCGAAACCACTTTGTGTGTCTTATCCAGCGGGGAGAAGGTGAGTGTGTTGACATAGGCGGCCAAGCTGGCGGACGACGAGGCATCGACCCCGGTGACATGGTGATAGACTCCGGTCTGTGATTGTATGATCGCCGCGAAGTCAGCTCTGGTTATCTCTGCGCACCCCGACCGGGTTCGTGCGACGTTGTACGTACCTGGCGATGAGAACTGGTCTTGGGTTGTTTGACCAAGTAAACCAAGTCGGGCGGACCTAATTCCCGAAGGTTTTGGAGGGATTCAGTGCGTGCATCGACAGCGGCGTAGATGTCCTCCTCCTCATAGATCCTAGAAACATTCAGGGGGTTGTTGTCAGTGCCAGGTCAACCACAGTGGGCCCAATGGAGCTGTAGATAGCGAGTCCGCAAGAACACGTAAATGGAGGAGGGGGTGGGGAGAGAGGGAATGAATGCCTTACTCAGGCACTGCGGGCGCGACCATGGCGCAAGCACTTGTTTGGAAGGGGACAAGCAAGACGAGATAAAAACCTCGGGTCTTGGAAGCGATACGCCCTTTTCAAAGATCAAGCGACGACAGACAAGAATGCAAGAAAGATAGCGGAGGCGCAGCGGGAAACTGGCTGGGCGTTCAAGTCGTCGTCACGGCCGCGCCCGCCGATCATCAATAGGGAAATAGTACAGAGTAGGTACCTCAGGCAGCAACTACCCGCCAGGTACCGCCTTTCCCTTTCGGGCACACGCGCGATTTATCCATGATTTAAATCGGTCCATGCGTGTCACTCGCGGCTGGCTGGCTGGCTCTAGACCCACCCGCAGGTGCAACAACCACTCCATCAATCACTGCCTTCTTAATTTCATTTCTTTCCAACGACTACTCCCAGGGCTTGTGACTCTAGCGCCCTCTCCGCTCTGAGCTGTGCTGTCTGAGGCCATTGCAACTTCTTGCGATGCGGCCGGTCAGCCTCAAGGCTTATACCGCGGTCCGGGAGCTTTGCGCACCCTGAAATTCACACCGACATCATGTCGAGCTGGGCGGCGCTCAACATCGAGCCCGATGAACTAATCGAGGAAGAGGTTGACGATACGAAGGAAATTCAGATTGAGGAAGCGCTCAAACTGTACCAGAATGCGTTGAAGCTTCATTCCCAGGGCCCGCAGTTCTATGCGCAGGCCGCGGAGGCCTATGATGCCCTGTTAACCTCCGAGATCTTCAAGTATCCAGAGTCCATCTCCGACTACAAGCGCGCCAACTTGCAGGACTCCGATCTCCCTATTGACTTTGCTGCAGGTTCCGGAGCTGCAGAGGCGCTGGCGGAGTTCGACATCAATGACTCCACGTCGAGCACTTTGATGCAGACCATTTACCTGGCTTACAAGAACCACGGCCAATTCCTGCTGGACGCTCTGCGCGCGGCCTTGGAGGGTCAGACTACTGGTGTGCAGGATGCTGGGGATCTACCGTCCCAGGTCACTGAACAGGCCAGCGCCGCTCTAGCAGCCTTCGCGGAGGCGCTGGAGCGCGATGACTCCGACCTCAACCTCTGGAGACAGAGCGCAAGGCTCTGTAGCACGCTGCAGAGCTATCGTCTCACGCGGTACTGTCTGGAGAGCGTCCTAGCAGATGATGAGAATCGTCTGGAAGTGCGCACAGAGCAGCTAGGCTTGGAGGAGACGTTCGCGGAGGAGCGTCTACGTGAAACTCTTTTGTCGGTGCACGACCGACTTTCCGTGTCCCAAGTTCCCCTCAAGAAGCCGAAAAAGGCCCTTTTGAAATTCCTGAGGAGGCAGGCTGATCCTTTTCCTTACCTTCCGGCACTTCCACAACAAGTCGAAGATTTCCAGGCGTTAAAGTCTCGCCTTTCCCCGCAGAGCGCACGTCATGAAATCAGGCCCGTCGGCCCTACATGGGCTGCGCTAGGAAAAGCTATGCTTCAGTCACTCATTGATGACGAGTTGGGTGTAGCAGAGATCAGACCTGGAACGACGGTCCTGATATCGCTTCCAGCTCCCAGTCCCGAGCTGAAGAGTACCATAGAAGTTGCCATTCCCGTGTACCATCCGCCGGCAGAGGAGGCCGACTCTAGAAGGCAACGAGCTAGCCGTGCGCCTGCCGAATCTGAGCAGGCTACAGATGCCCCTCTTCGAGTGAAATCAGAAGTTCCCGACGACCATTCCTCCATCGATCAACGCGCAGAGAAGCAGCTCATGGAATCATTAGAGACCCAGTCATCAGAGCCCCCGGGTCCGAGCAATCAACCTGACAGTGCGAACCTGGAAGAGGCCAGTACAAGACCCCTGACTGGAGGTCGCAAGCGATCGTCTGCATTCTTCCAAC